ATAAACGAGAAGCGAAAACTTGTTAGATCTTTCTCTCTCTCTCTCTCTCTCTTCGCGCTCAACGAATATGCATTGTTTTGGCGCGTAAAATTAACAACTCAGACTCAAATTTGCACGTGCCTTATGTCGATAATTCGATACGAAAAGCGATCACTACGCTCAAGTTTTCAAAGTTAAGTGAATCAATTTTATACCGAATGACGCGTAAAGATACAGAGTGAGAACAGCTCGTCCTTAAAAAAAAACTTGCAATGCAAGTATAAATGAGTTCTCTCTGAGATATGAGATTTTTTAATTACTCGCCACGCGCGGAGCGGTGAAGCTAATTATCGCTTCGACTTCGCAAGGCCAAAGAAAAACTCTCGCTTCCCTCCACCCTTAGCTCAACTGATGGTAAAACTTCGATCGTTTCCTTCGTTTCTTTTGTCATCTCCACAAAGAAAAAACTCAAATTACCGGCTATATGCCAGCTGCGAGTTTTCGACAAAACTTTTATCTTACGGCTAAACAATACATAAAACTCTATAATTAGCTTGATTTACTTGTCGTAAAAAGAGGGAGCTCGATTTATTCAACAATTTATCAAATTATTATTCAATTTTTTTTTTAAATAAATCACATCACTTTTGGTAAATCAAGTATATTCGTCACTCATGCAGTAATTATAAACGATTTACTTTTCTTGCTATTGTGTACCTTATAGTAATGAAAAGTTCGAATTGAATTTTTTCTTCAAAATAAGGAATATCTGAGTACTCCAATCGATGCATTAATCATTATAGCTGATCATGGTTGCGCTATGAAACCATTCTAAGAAACATATTTATTTCAATGGATTTTCTGATAGTATAAAAAATACTACTTTATCTCATGCTCGATTTGGATAACAATAGGGAATTCAAACAAATATCTAAGAGACACTTGAAATGAGTGAAAGCTCAACTTTTGAAAATTTATTTATGAAAACTAGACGGTAACGTTATCAATCAACCAGTTTATTAATTTAATTATTTCGTTTAGAATGGTTAGAAATAGTATGATGATCGGTGTACTGACTTGGCTTAAAATTATTAGAAAAAAATTTTTCGAAACAGCTTAATCAGAATACTATTTAAAAAAAATAGACTTTTTACTGGGTATAAAAAAATTATTTTTACAATTTGCATACTTAATATTTACTTTTTAATGCATGTTGTTTAAAAAGTATAAAATATTAATAGAATAAAGTTATTTCTTGAAACTATAATATGATTTAGTACAGTTTGTGCTCTAATTAAAACTAATTTATCACATTTGTCAATCTAAAAGCACGTGGTATAGCGCCATGCCTGGAAGGTATAGGAAATACGTTAACGAGATAATCTATTTACCTTGTAATACAGTGTTACATCCATGGACTATTCATCTAAGACAGCGTAATTAAGCAATTTTCCTGCGCGAGGAACATGAGTTAGTTGCATGTACACAATTTCCATAATATATGCTGTTTAAATTAGCAACAAGATGAGTTAGATCCTACTGATCGTGTTGATGGCCGATTCTGACACATTCACTTATTTTTTATCGTGCTCTCATGTAAGTATTCAAATGGATCATTGTTCACATTTTTGTTTGATTGTTTAACAGCACAATAAAATTTGTCTTGAAGTGTTTATTGATTATCTCTGAATAAAAGAGACAAATAAAATAAAAAAAATTAAACAAGTATTATACTTCTCATATAATTAGCTGATCAGAAGATCGAATTTCGTATCTAAAATTGAAACGGTCGATCTTTTTTCCGAAAAATTATGCTACAATCGAAATTCTGGTAATTATTATTACGCGGGCTGCTTTCGTCTTTGGTGCACCGTAGTAGTCGTACAGAGACATGGGCTGTGCAAATATAAAAATACAGGCTTATAGTAAAAGTTGTACTTTATCGAGTTAAAGGGGCGCAAGTTTCAGAACGGCGCTCATGAATGATTGAACGACTTAAGGAGCGCCGCCGACATCACGCTCGCTGACTTTTTGTGCAACAACACAATCGCTGAAATATTAATCAGTCTCCTGACTGATAAAAGAGCCCTATACATTTGACTCCTTATCAATAAGGCTTGATCTTTGAGATCATTGTGTTTTATATAGGTGCGCTAAGTCGGATATTCTAAAGTATCTACATGATTTCCGATGTTAATTAGTTTGGTGTTTAACAATTTATACAAATCAGCGATCTTCTGTCAACTAAACCGGACGTTTTTTGCATGAAAAACTTGTTATTCTTTCTGGTACTTTTTTATTTAAGACTCTCTATGATGAACTGAAAATTCTTTTAATATTCGCGAAATGCGTCGGTGCGAAAAAATGCTGATTTTGGGCCTCTAAAAAAGGGTGATTGATGGTCTCAAAAATTCTACCGAAATTCTGGGACATTTCTGGAACATTAAACAATGGGCTCGTAATGTCAGATATATTATATATATACTAGTAACTTTCAAACGCGCTTCGCGCGCATCAGTTTTTCAGTCGCCCTTTGAAACAGTTGATATTTTGACTGCAGCTGTCACTTTATTCAAATCCGATTCGAGTCAAAAGTCAGTCGACCAATCAGAGGCCGTATAAAATGGCTTCACTTTTAGGTCCATCATTATTAAGATCATTATTATTTTAAGAGAGGAAAATAAAAGTTGACAAGTTTAGTAAACAGAGAATCGGCCAAATTTATTAGCGCTTCCTCTCAGAATCAGATGGCAGAGGAGAATCGTCCTCTCCAACGGCGGTGTCTGGAAAAACTGTGGCGCATATAGAGCAGTATAAAAATTTCGCGAATAACGAAAAAAATTCCAAGTTCCAAAATGACAATGAAGCCCCAGAATCGCTGTTGCTACGCATTGCATGAGAATATGAAAATAAGTAAAAAAAAATTAAACAATCAATGGATGAGTTGAAGAATGCGTTGAAAGAACTTGTCTATAGCCACGAGTCCCGATCGTCGTCGATATAAACGATGAGATATGAGAGAGATGAGATAAAAGAGAGGGTCCAGATGCGCAGATAGAAAAGATCGCGAAACAAAGGACTAACGGTGTCAGAAAACAAAAATAAAAATAAAAATAAAAGAAGTTAAAAAAAGATAAAAGGAAAGTAAGCTGGGAGGAAAAAAAATGAGGAAGGGTGCAGAGCATTAAAGCGAGAGATTGAGGTGGGAGAAAAGGAGCGAGGAAAAAGCGTATATATCTCATACATATATTAGGAAGATCAAGCCGACGGTAAAGTACTATGCACGAAAGGGAATGGAGGGGAAGAGAAAGATGACGAAGCTATTACAAGAGAGGAGGAAAAAAAGTAGGAAAATCGCGAGAGGAAGTGCGCTCGTCGAATGGAAAAGGCGGCCAATAGATTACGAGCGCGATCGCGAGCTACTCTGTGCTATACTTTTCGCACAAAAGCTGCTTAGTTTTGAGTTTCACGAAGCTTATAGCGCAGCAGGTGCTCGCGTGCGTACCTTTGCCTTTTTTTAGTATTTATTATTTCAAAGAAAAGACGTACATATACTACTATGCTACATTGCAGTTGAGTAGAGTCGCGAGCTCGTATCGTTGGCTCGTTTCATCGCGTACACAGCTAGCACGGTTGCGTCGCCTCCGCCGCTTTCTTTATTTATATCGTGGTAATTCTTCTGTCGAGCTGTTTTTACTCGTTGAGTATTTTTTCGAATATCGTACATATAGTCTAATGCCAGGCTACAGGTAGATCAACTAGCTCAGACATCGACTTTTGCGCACTTTGCAATATTGGCAAGGCGAGTAACGTATGTGGCTGTTGTGTGTACGCGTTCACATGCCAATGCAAACGAGAGAGAAGGAAATGAAGTAGCTTTCGCATCGCACTCTGTCTCTCGGTGTCGGGCCCCCTTTTCTCTCTCTCTCTCGCGCTACATACGTGTGCCAGCTCGCTCGAGTATATTTTCCATTTCCTCTGGCTGCCCCCCCCCCCCCCNNNGCCCCCCCCCCCCCGCAGCTTATGCTCCCTCTCCCTCTTTTTTTCTCTATCTTTCTCTGCTGCGAGCGCGAGGGCGATGTACGTTACGCGTGCGTGAGGAAGTTCAATATCACGAGCGGCCTACTATATTGCGCCAGCGAACGAGCAACGAACTGCATGTATTCTACTGCAAGCCTATATCCTCGCGCACGAGCCTTGCTTCTCGAAGAAACTTCCAGCTCTTTTTTCGACTCTTATTCAATATCCGAGTAATATCTTTCTGCAGCTGCTATCGCGAATACGACGTTACGAAGAAGGATCGGAGAAAGATAAATAATCACCCGTTGCAAGCTCGAGCATAAAAATGATGATTCAAGGGATCGAATGATCGCAACGATCGAACATGGACCTGCACGTCGGTTCCTTATCTCGTCGGAGGAATCAGAATGCCGCACGTCGAGGAGATACATAACGCACGGAGCAATATTAGTAGTCGCAGCAGTACAAGTAGTAGTATAGCATACAATGGATCGGTGAGCTTGCGTGAGCACGCCGTAGATGTGTGTATGTGCGAGCTGGGTTATAGATCTCTCGCTGGCCGTGGCGTGACGGCCGCATCGCGTGAGTCAGACTTTCTCTCACCCTTGCATGCGCGAATACAGAGAGCCAGAGCCAGCGGCAGCAGCAGCAGCAGCAACAGAAGGAGCACTGGCAAGGGAGAGGGTGGCACAGTCGACGCCTGCGCAAGCTCGCTTGGCTCGCGCCATGTTGGCAATATAATCACCCCCCAAGCCCCTCGTGCGCGCGTAGAAAAGCCCGCGGCGAGCGAACGAACGAGCGAGACTCGAGACTCGAGAGAGACGTGCTCTACACGGGGGTGCGCGCGCCGAACGCCGAGAGCTCGTGCGATACGCGAATGCGCGTACGGGGGTAGGTGGATACACGGCGCTTAGGCTAGGCTTGGGTAGGGTAGGGTAGGGTAGGGTAGCATAGGAGTGTATGCTGTGTTCGAGCAAAGTTATAGCAACTGGGAGGATAGGCAGCAGCGTAGTCGTGGCTCGCTCGTTAGTGTATGCTCGAGTCGCCCTCGCGGCTACTATATATCTCCGACACATCCAAGCGCGCGCGCGCACTCAACGACGTAGCAGCAGTAGAAGCGACCAAAAATCCGCAGTAGTACACTCGCTGGTTCTGCATAGATAATATTGCGCGTCGATTGATCCTCCTGCGCGAATCGACGTGCCGAGCGTCGAGGCAACTTTCACGCTCGAGTCTTGACTTTTTCGTCAGAGAGTTGAAAGCAGCAGCGCCAATAGCACTAAAGCTAGCCTCCTGCTCTATCGGAGTGACGTAATTTCGCGAGTGTGTGAGTGCGCCTACAAGAGTTACATATACAAGAGTTTCGAGCGCAGAGTGTGCGTGTGGAGTGCAAACGTGTAGAGAGAGAGAGAGAGAGTCGAGCGCTCGAGTGTTGTACGAGTGTAGGGTGCAAAGCAGAGTTGAGATTGCTCGCGAGAAACATGTCGCGGGCACTCGGCTTGGCCATTCTCTTGGTGGCTAGTGTCATCGGCACCTGCCAGTCTGAGGTAAGCTCTTTCATTACACCTACATCGTTTTACGAGAGCCTCGAGCGTGCAGTCTGCAGCTGCCCGATCGTCTATAGAGTATCTTAAATATATATGTAATACGTAGAGCGTGTGGTGTGACTGTATGGCGCAATACTATCAGCAGTTCTCCTCGTATAAGGTGAAGGACGTCGCGAATCGTCGACGTCGTTGTAGCCGTCGTTGCTTTGCAGTGGTAGAGCTATCGCAAGCTCGAGAAGCGGCCGCGAGCCAAGTCGAGCGCGCGCGCGCAAGCAAGCAAGCCCCTCCAGTCGCATGCGGCCTCTATAATAATACCGACGCGTGCGTTTCTCTCTGCGTGCGTGTATGTGTGCGCTTGTATGTGTGTGTGACTCTGTGGCTACACGAAAGCATCGCGAGGGCGAATTTGCAAAACTCGGCAGGCACGATATAGGTAGAAGCAGTGACAAGTCCCGCGAGACAAAAGACAAGCTTTTGCTTTATTTCGCAGGAAAGCAGCTTTGCCGCACACACTTGTAGACATACTAGGTAGGAATACGACGTTCGACGCTCTAGCTCGGCTGTTTTACGTTACTATAGCTGCGCGCAACGAGGGGATGAAACGAGCTGTTATTATTGGGTTAACCGGAACAAGCAGCTCGAACGCTGATGGAAAGAAGAGACGCCGACAACACGGCTGCGATCGGCCCTGCAGTACCTAGTCTTCCTATCTATAGCTTGTATATTGCTACACGCGTACGTCTCTATTGCTTCCGACTCACTTCTATAGCCTAGCGGCAGTAATTGTATAAGCTTGCACCGAGTTCTCGTTCCCCGTACGACATCGTCTGCTAATGCGTGGAGCTTGAAAGCCCGAGACGCCCGCACGACTCGTTTTTGCGCTCCAAGGATCGAGTCTTTTTCGCCACTAACTTCTTGGGCACTGCTTATTTACATTATGCCGAGCTTTCGACTCCTTTTACCAGTTCCTCTGCTCCCTCGCCTTCTCCGTTTCTGTCTTTCTCTTTCTCTAGCTTTCTATTCGAGCTATACGTTTTCGCTTTGTCTATTCCACGCGCGCGCGCGGCATGTGAAGCGTTTTAAGCGATTGCTCGGCTTTGCTCTGTAACTAGGTTCAGATTTCTCTGTCTCTCTCTTTCTCTCTCTCTCTTTCTCACTTTCGAGCTTTCTAGCTCGAGGGCTTTCGAAATTAGACATAATTCGCGGGCGCTACTCTTGTGTCGAGCTTCTCTTTGCAACATTCGCGAATGTATGTATGCCTCGGAAGAGAAAAATCGATATATAGCTCTCAGGGTTTGTTCCTCTACTGGGATAGTAAGCAAGTATATCACTCGAACTGCAGGCAGCAATATCGTGCACGATATACTCGCGAGTGATTTCTCGAGTAAGATATACATTTAATATGTATGAGTGAGTAAATCTCAGTTTTGCCACTATATTGACAGCTGCGTACACAAGCTTTGCAACCCTGTAGTAAAGTTCCAACTCAAATGAATTCGAGAGTAAGAAAAAAATGATTAGAGACTGTGGCTTGATTGCGAGAAGGACGAGAAAAAGAGAGAGAAAGCTAAATCAGCCAAGCACCTTGATGCATGCAAATAAATAACGAGCTTTTGATAAAACCAAGAGTCAACGCACATCTGCCAACGTGACTCTCAACGGTTGCGTGCCTACATAAACGCCTGCATTAAGCTCTTTTTTTCACCTCGTTTTCTATAACTACGCGCGTATAATATACCAGTTATGAGGTAGAACTACGTACACTAGCTGGCGGACATGTAGCGCGTACTCGCTCTTTCGATGATGAACGAGATTATTTACCCCGCACCTGCCAACTACTACAATGCTGTCTGGTGTATACGTATGTGCGATTATCCGAGCTTAAACACTTTCACCTTGGCACAAAGCAACGCATAAAACGAGCGAACCTTGCTTGCTCGTTCTTTTTTTCTTTATTTCTTTCTAGCTCTTTCTTCTCTCTCTCTCTCTCTCTCTCTCTCTCTTTCACAAGCGAGTGCGCTGCCTAGCTAGCCTATGATCGATGTTGAGTACCCCGGCTTATCTCTGCAATTTCCAGCAGAGTCGTCGTCGTCGTCGCTACATGGAGCTTTTTTATTCACCCAGGAGACGTATAAATTGCATTAATAACGATTCATTATATCGTCCGGTTATTGCGGGCTGCTCATGTTAAAATTCCAAGTTTCCGGTGTAATATCGGTTTTTTGTTTTGGCCGCAAGCTCGCCTAATAATTTTCGGTACTTCATATACATATATACGTATACGTATAATACAAGTCGAGCGATCCAGCAGAAGCAGCGGTGCAGCCAGACCTTGCTCGGCCCCCGCATTGTGTCCCTGAAAATCGTTCAATCGTCCGTGGCTTAGCTACACCGACGTTTTGCCCATTAGAGAGCTTTAGCCTTAAAGCACTCGCCGAAATTGTCTAATGAAATATTTCATAAATTTTTGGTTGAGCTTGCAATTATATTGGAGCTCGAGAGCGAGGAACACGGGCCTGCAGGCTCGACGTATTATTGCCAAGCAAGCCACGAGATAGCGACGGCGCACGTTCGAAAACGAAATGAAAACGAACGAAACTATATGGCCAATGTTCAAGTACACACGCGTTGTTCTCAAGGCTTACAGACAAAACAAATGTCTCTCTTTTCCTCGGGCATCGTGTATAATACGAGCGTGTTCTATATAATAATCTGCCATACGCACACACGGCAACAAATGGGATAAGGGCCCCTTATTGCCGTGTTCGCGCTACGAGAGCCTCGTGTTCATAATAGGAGCTTGCAAAATCTCATTTAATTTGGCGTGCGAGAGAGAGAGAGAGAGAGAGAGAGAAAGCAGCAAAAGCTCGCGTCGTGCGCGTATTATTATATGTACGTGTAGGCAGCTAGCGTTGGCACACTCTATGGTTAATTAACATACTTTTCACATAAAAGAAACGAGCCGGAGAATATCGAATTATAAGCCGAGAGCCTAGGCTGCTGCACTGCGCTACGTGCAACCTACAATGCATGTATGTATGACAGCGGCAGCTGCTGCTTGCAAGAATGCAGTAGAAGCAGTGGCAATACGGAAAGCGAAGCGAGCGAGCAACTTAATCGCATTTCGAATCAATTTTCGTGAAAATTGCAATCACTTTTGCTCTCTTGCTCTCTCTCTTACTATATCGTAACTCCTGTGCAGAGAAAGCTTCGTTTCTTGCGCTTTTCCCAGCACATATACACAGCACGAGATCTCCCGCTGCTTGCCAAGTATACGTGCGTCGTATACGTGCAACGAACTTTTCCAACTACCCATACACCCATACACATAAAGCCGAGTGTAACGATACACCTGCCTTCCGAGAACAATGAGATAACGTACTGCGACACCCCTCGTGCGTAATCGCGTATATATACTGTACTACTGTGAGGCACTCTTTGTGTCCGCCTGAAAAAGAAAAGGAGTGCGTATACGAGCGCACAAAGTGCATCACATAATATTAGCGTAGCTCACAATGAGAGCAGACTTTCTCGAATCACGCTATCACATGGGCAGGATGACATCCGGTAAGCTCCGATTTGAAAGCTTTCGACCATCTGAAGGCGAGAGCGCGTTTGCGAGTGCGTGGATGGCTGAATCGCATTGTAGACAGAGAAAGAGCGGGAGGCTCGGCATTGATTCCTATGTGAAAGAAAGAGAGAGAGAGAGAGCAAAAGAGAGGCCATAAAGGTCTCAATAATAACAATGCAGCACAATGTGCCACACACGTAGAAGCTGTTCCTCCTACATACATTTCCAAGAGAGCAAGTGAATGCATATAGAGCTTGAAAATATCGTACGTCCGACTGCTATATATATAATTGAAAAAGTGCACAAGATTTCACTCTCAAAGTTTACTGCCCTTTCTCTCTCTTTCTCTCTTTAGCGCGCGCCTGACTCGTTTCAGGATATCGTGCGTCGCGAGCTCGCATCGACCCACAAACACCCCATATCTATACAATTGTATAACATGCAGAGTATAAGCTGCCGAGCGCGCGGCCGAGTCCGCCGACCTGGAACAATAACCCGTGCGCGCGAAACTCGACTTTAGCCCCAAAAGTGTCTATTCTATACTGCGTTGCTGCACACCTCATAGTTTCAGCTACCTCGACAACCTATCGCCCATTTTAGTTTCCGGCAATATCATTCAAACTTCGGCGTCATAGTCTTCGCGTGCATAGTGCACCCTGCATCTCTAGGACGTGTATTATGATTCTGTCCCGGAGCTTGGCAAATGTCACACCTCCAGTATACAAGATAACTGCTGTTGCTGCTGCAGCTTGGCTATCAAGCACATCCAAATCTCCTGAATATTTATCATGCAGCATCGCATTAGCCGTGGACGATGGAACGATCCGATCCTTCTCTTTTTCTCTTATAAGCTCGCGAGCCATTCGTACATTGACGCGTAAAACGTAACTCGAGCCGTGCTTGCCTTTGTGAGCTCTGCTTCTAGCCGTACACTCTCGACGCGTTGCAAAACTCCTTTGTCATTGCACACTATATTCCTCTTTCCCTTTTAAATTCCACATCCTATTCACTATTGATTCGCACTATCCCCACTAGTTGCATCATTTTCACCGTCTTTTTTATTATTTTCTGTTGCTGCTGCTGTTCCTACAAAAGTTCTAATGGAAAACTGTGGCCTAAAATTAAAATTTGCACACCTCATTTAAACTTCACTTGTTGAAATTCTTCGATTTCTTGAAGAATTTAAAATCCAAACCTCGTGGATAGGGTTTCGTAAAGTTATATCTTAGCTCAACTTCTTTACCCAACTTCCACAACTGTTTATAATCTTTTGCAATTCTGCTTCACGTATAAATAAAATTTATGGAAATTTCGAAACTACTATAATTCAAGTTTATTGTTAGTTTATAACCACTCATGTGTTGGAATCGCTACTGAAATTTCGGACAAACTACACAGCATCGATCGAAAAACTAATCAATGATATCTC